AAATTAGTCCCACATCGTTCTCATTGAGAAGTAAATCTACCTCTAAAAGGTAGAGAATGCATTTAAGTGTCAAGAAAATTCAACTCGTGAGAGAGACATAACCAATGCTTTCCAAGGGCAGTGATGGATGACGTGGCTCCAACAGGGTTAGGTTTTTAAGTTGGCTGAAATTGCTAGTGAACCCGTTGAAATCACCCGTGTTAGCATATTTTTGCTGCTTAAAACTCGGCCGGCGACTCTCTCTAGACACAATGAGGATGGGAAGTTGGGAAGTGATGATGTGTGACGTGCGACTTAAAACTCGGCCGGCGACTCTCTCTAGACACAATGAGGATGGGAAGTGATGATGTGTGACGTGCGAGAACCGGTTGATGTTGAGTGATGCGTAATTTTCATTGGTTTACAAACCAAATGCGAGAGTTAGTGGTTCAAAAATAGTCGATCCGATCTGGATTCGGGTGATCCGGATGCGTAATTTTCATTGGTTTACATACCAAATGCGAGAGTTAGTGGTTTAAAAATCGCCGATCCTATCTGGAATCGGGCTATCCGAATCAAATATAGGACACGCCGTTTCGGTTCAAACGAAAAAACGGGATCCGACCCAAATGTCAGTTACACACGTCCATGTAAGTAGCCCTAACATCAACCTGCCCCCCACTGATTGTGCTTTGCAATTGCTTATATACGTCTACCTTGTCCCACATCACTTCGATTTGGGACTATTTCTATAGCCCAACCTTGCTGCAAAACCGTGCACTTTATTTTAAACAATAGTTACAATTTGTTCCAAATTATATATAGTGTTTGTATTAGGTAGTGATAGATGGGTTCTATAAATAAATCTTTCTCCCTCATATAAGGACAAATGAAATAGGCTATAGTTATTTTTAAAATTAATTATATTTATTTATTTTTAATATTTAATCCTTTTAAGAATAATTATATTTATTTATTTTTAATATTTAATCTTTTAAAGATTAATTATATTTATTTATTTTTAATATTTAATCTTTTTAAGATTAATTATTTTTATTTTTATTTTTAAAATATACAAACATAAAGTACATATAATTAATCTTTAATTGTATATAATTACAAAAATAAAATTTCAAATAATAATTTACAAAAAGTAACATAATTATATGAAATTATTTTACTAGCTCATAGGATATTAAAAGAAACAAAAATAATACTAATACTGGTTTATAGATCATTAAGAAAAATACTAGTTTATGAGATATTTTAAATGCGAAAAATAACACTAGCTCATACTGCTTTAGAAT